CCGTATGGTCCACGCCTCCCACGCCACCCCTCTCTCAGCAAAATGTTCCGGAAGAATCCAAGAAAACAAAGAGCACACGCAGAATAGACGTTAAGCGTCCAAGGCACGGGGGGGTAGGGTAGGGGGGGGGGGTAGGGGGGGTAGGGGGGGTAGGGGGGGGGTAGGCGGGGGTCTGCGGGCGGTTTTTTCCCAAAGGGCCCCTATGTCCTGTGCGAAACCGCCTATGGTCCGTGAGTTTATGCGGTGTGGGTGGCCTGGCCCTCCATGGAAAAGCTGCCCGGGTACCCCCCCTACCCTACCCGGTAAGGAGGGAAAGAGGGAGGTTTTCACCTCCTTTTCCCATCCAACACGCCGCCAGGGTCGGCGGACCCTAGCCCTAAACCCTAAACCCTAAAACGCGAAAAGCCTAAACCCCGAATCTCTAACCCCGAAACCCTTCAACCCTGACACGAGCAAAACCCTACAGCCCTGCACCCTAAACCCCAAACCCATCCAAACCCTAAACCGTGACTTTGAGGAAACGGCTGCGTCGCTGGATGGCAGCTTTTTGAGCCGCAACCCGGCGACAGCAGTCTACTTGAAGGTTCATAGGTAGTCATAATTAGGGTTTAGGGTTAGGGTTACAAGTACCCTAAGTAAGGTTATAAGTATAGTTGCCCTACTTATTCCTACCACGTACGATCCGGGCTCCGAGGCTTTGAACTCAAGTTCCAGCATTCGCCCTGGGCAAGCCAAATTCCGCTTCTAGCTCCAGTAGTCCCCAAGCCGAAACCCTGCATCCCTCAGCCCTCCAACGGCTTTAAGGTGTACGGAAATCCTCAAACCTTTTCAACACTAAGTCTTCCATGCATCTAAAACCACAAAGGTCGACGATATGAACCAACCCAAACCCCCCCCCCCACCCCCCACCCACACCCTCCAACCCCTACACCAATTCCTGACACTCTTACCGGAAACCCTAGATCCCTGAAGCCCTACAACCCAAAATCCCTAAACCCTTGTACCCTAACTCCCTAAATCCCTACACCCGTAGAGCCGAAGCCCTCAGGTGACGAGGTGGTGTTGGTCAACGAAATCTTTAAGCATTGCCTCTTGGCTTTACACGCCCTTTTGTTGTTTGCCCAATGCGATGTTTAGAAAGCCCCTAAACCCGAAACCACGTGCACAGAGAAAGTTGTGTATGGGAATTCTACCCCGAGGACCACCCCAAAAGTACCTTAAGATGCCGCACCAAATCACGAGAGGAATGTCTGTGCAATCAGAACGGTTTCGGAACATGTCTGCAGCCTCTATGGACGTGAAATGGAAAATGGTCTTTCCGACCAGGGTTGACTACCCAAATTTGTTTCTCCAAAGTCACATGTCATGAGGCGAGGCTGCCAACTTGACGTAGTTTGCACAAGAGTGGTTTAGGGTTCAGGTTTCAGGGTTCAGGGTTTAGGGTTTAGGGCCCCAGTAGCTGTCCTTCATCACCCTCGGTGTAGGGCCGGGGTGCGCTGATTCCTCTTGTGTTTGAATCATAACCGGGGCAGGTCAGGCAATGTGTGTTTTTGGTTCTTTGAGAGCCAAGACTCGCACGGACACGTAACTTTCTCTGTGCACAGCCTTGTCTACCAATGCATAGGCGCTTGTAGTGAAAGAATAACCCCAAAGGCTCCATGTACCCTTATAGTAGATACCCAGGCCTTAATCCGAGCACCTGTTTAATTGGGAGGGGTCCCCCCCCCCCCCCCCCAAAATAAGGAAGGCAGGGTTCCGCAATAATTGGACCATGGCCCTGCATTGATTCTCTATTAAAAACAATAGGCTGCAGATCCCTGAGGTGCTGTAGCTCCGCATCTCCGCAAGCAAAACAAGAAGCCTGCCGACAGATTTTTGAACCCCCCCAAAAAAAATTTCTTTAAATGTGGGGGGTTATGCCCATACGAAATCCACCGTAATGGAAAGTAGTCTTCCGGCGGGCTTCCGGAGAAAAAATATTTCTTTAAATATGGGGGGTTTAATTAAACAGGTGCTCGGATTAAGGTACCCTTATCGGAACCCCTTTAACGGCCTAGGTATCTACTATATGGGTACATGGAGCCTTAGGGAACATGTCCAAAAGCATCAGACTTGAATAATGTCCGGGATAATATTTTTCCTTGAACTGTCGGGCTCGTTACCTGTAAGGAATATGACATCTGGTGCGTTTACGCAGCGATTTTCAATGCTTCAATGCATCTTCGGTTTGAGGGAAAGCGGCTCTTGCCCTTGAACCTGAAACGAATGATTTCCTTCGTGCCGGGAAATATGTTCTATCGAAGGTAAGATGCTATCCTGCTTGGTTTCACAGGGATCTTCAATGCATCTTTTTCAAAAAGCGAGCTTTCCTAGGACCGGGAGTAGGCCCTTTTTTCCTTTTTTGGGTTGGGGTTCCCTTATAGTCCCCTTAAAACCAAAAGGGCACCCTTTTTATTCCTAGGTTACTCCCGAGTCTAGCTTCACCCATGGGTTTCATGATGTGTTCGTAGGACAAGGGAGTAGGGCTCGACTGGCAACAGCCGAAGATCGGACAATTCACATTCACAATAGCACTTTCTATCACCCTCGGCCCCAAACCCTAAACTTTGGGATGTTGCCCCTTATACTCGCAGTCCCTATTGGGGATCATAATAGGGTTACTATCCTATTCACGATCTGTCGAAACTCCCAACAATCTCCAGGTGCATCTCAAGGCAGCTTCAGCATTTCCCACGCGGACGCAGAGCGAGCCATCGGAATCGCCATCGACCCGCCCCATGGTCTGCACCAAGAGAGGCAGGGTTTTGCCTGAAAAAGGGGAACCTTAGGGAGGGTTTGGGGTTTAGGGTTTAGGGTTTAGGGTTTGGGGTTCGGGGTTTGGGGTTTGGGGTTTGGGGTTTGGAGTTTAGGGTTTGGGTTCAGGTCCCGCCCCTGAAGGAGAGGGTGTAGTCTAATAAGGGTGAAAGTACTTACCGTATAATATGTAGTAAATGTAGCATGTAATACGACGTATAAATGCGAAACACAAACTGCGCAGATTTGACATATGATATGCAATGTATGACACATACTAATTCTTTATACCGGTATACATTCTGACAGTATGTTGGTTTATTTGCATATGTAAAAACATACGCAAGGTACACAACATACGTAGCATTTACAGCATGTATAGCATGCATAACGAATAGAACATGTACACATAACATTATATACATACATACATACATACATACATACATACATACATACATACATACATACATACATACATACATACATACATACATACATACATACATACATACATACATCATTCTCTTGGTTCTTTGTCATTCTTTTCGCTCTCTTGTTCGCAGTTTTGTAGTTAGCTTCTGGTGTTACCCCGTACCTCCATGAAGACTTCTCGTTTACACGGTTGACACATCCCAAGACACCTGAGAGCTACCCCACATGTCCTCCATCAACCCTGAAAACAGATCAGTCCAGGGTTTTGGGATCCTAGGGTTTAGGGTTTAGGGTTTAGGGTTGATGGTTTAGGGTTTAGGGTTTAGGGTTTAGGGTTTAGGGTTTAGGGTTTAGGGTTTAGGGTTTAGGGTTTAGGGTTCGGGTGTAAAGTAAGGACTTCGGGGGTTTTAGGGTTTAGGGTCTGCCTTCCATCCTTTGCCCTAAACACAGGCTTATCGATCCAGATCCTACACCTCCAGAACACCAAAATCCAAGCTGCGACACCTAGAGCCCCAAAACCCAAACCCTAAACCCTAAACCCTAAACCCTAAACCCTAAACCCTAAACCCTAAACCCTAAACCCTAGCAAGGAGTTTCTGGATTGGCAAGCTGCATCGTGCGCTTGACGAAATGGACGATTCCCGCCTGAATGGTGTGACTTGGACAAACTGGCTTTCGGGGAGTGCAGGTCGACCCTGGTCCCAAACACCTTTGATTTTGGAGGGGGTTAGGGTTTAGGGTGTAGGGTTTAGGGTTATCCGGTAGCTACTATGTTTGTCTGGCTTTGGGTCACAAGTAAACCCACGGAAAAAGCTTGAATAGTCCGCGTCGACATCATCATGTACATCCGCACCCCACTAATCGAATGTTCACTACGTCAAATATGCTAGCGGTGGGCTACCTAGGATGCCCAGCAGTGCCCTTATTCGCTTTTTTGGGGGTTTAGGTTCCCCATTTATGCAAAAAAGGGCGCCGTTTTAATCCTGGGTTATTGGGCAACCTAGCTACTGACAGTCTTCCGAGTTGGGGTGCCTAGAAACCTGCCACACTCGCAATTGCCCATGAACCTGCAAGCATTCCTCGAGCAAAGCGGGTTGGCGTTTAGGGTTTTCGGTTTCGGGTTTAGGGTTTGGGGTTTAGGGCTACTAGTGTATTTTAGGGTTTAGGGTTATTCGTACGGAAATTCGAGTTATCAGGGTTATTGGGGTTTGGGGTGTAGGGCTTTGGGGAGCAAAGGCGAAAATGACCTTGACCACCTTCCTCAAGAAGCTGTGCCCACAGGCTCCATGGCGTGCTTGGGTTTAGGGTTTAGGGTTTAGGGTTTAGGGGTTAGGGGTTAGGGGTTAGGGGTTAGGGGCTAGGGGCTAGGGGCTAGGGGTTTGGGGTTGGCGTGCTAGAGTGCAGGGGTGCCGGAATAGTGCTTGAGGGTTTTGGGGTTTTAGGTTTTAAGGTGTTTTTTTGATTATTCAGGGTTTCGGGGTTTTAGGGTGTAGGCGTAGGGTTTTAGGGTTTTTGTGTTTTTGGGTTTTTGGGTTTTTGGGTTTTTGGGTTTTGGGCTTTTAGGTTTTTAGGGTTTTAGGGATTAGGGTTTCAACGCAAACTGCAGTTTTTCCAGGCTATGGGGATGGGGAACTCAGGTTTTGGGGGTTTTCCCTGCAGATGCTGGCATTCCGGCTGGCGCTAGTGAAGAAAGATTATCAGTCTCCGCTAACCCAGGGCGTGTGTGCGTGTAGACTCGTCCGCCACTCCATCCGTCTGAATAGAAAACCCTAAACCCTAAACCCTAAACTAAACCAGACAGCTTGGCAGCAGGGATCGCAACAAGATCGTCAGCACCCCACCTTGCTATGGGGGGAGATTCTCAAAGATTTCGAGCCCGGTGTGGGTAATTTCAATACGAGGCCCCGCAGTGGATCCCCAACAAGTGGCCCCCAATGTGGGACGGTAGAGTTGTTCGGGTCGGTTCAAAGTCGGAACCGCTCCCCCCATTTGTTGCTGAGAAGGTGGAGAAGCCCAAAGCCTAAATGGGTTTAGGGTTTAGGATTTAAACCGGGTTTAGGGTTTCACGGGTTTGGGGTTTCACGGTTTGGGGTTTCACGGGTTTTGGGTTTCACAGGTTTAGGGTTTCACGGGTTTCAGGGTTTCAGGCTGTCAGGGGGCTAGGGTTTAGGGTGTAGGGTTTAGGGTTTAGGGTTTAGGGTTTAGGGTTTAGCGTTTAGCGTTTAGCGTTTAGGGTTTAGGGTTTAGGGTTTAGGGTTTAGGGTTTAGGGTTTAGGGTTTAGGGCCACAAGTCCGAAACCGGAGCGTTGAGTTGCCTGGGCCAGGCGGCACCGCGGCACCTGCGCATGTTCCACAGCTGGCTGAAGGACTCTGAGTTGCACATGATTGGGGGTTTAGGGTTTAGGGTTTAGGGTTTAGGGAGGTTTGCAAACTGCTCATCGGCCCCACTCTGGGAGGTTCAGGGGTAGTCTGCGGTTCAGGGTGTAGGGTTCAGGGGTACCCATACTTTTGTGGATCCGCAGTCGTGACTCAAGCAAGATGTTGATGTAATGGATGGTTGTTGGGGGTCTAGGGGGAGCCATTTCACTGGATGGTTTAGGGTTTAGGTTATTTGGATATTTATATCTGTATTTACAGGGCTTATGAACATAGCAATATTCGAGGGAAATATTTCTGAGGGGTCCCCTTCTCGGGTAACATTGAAAATGTGAGCCCTGAATATGAGGGTGTTAAAAGACCCCTTATTTCGAACACCCGACCCCCCTCCCATGGTTGGATTCGAACACCCGACCCCCCTCCCATGGTTTGATTAGCATTCTTTGGCCACTTAGAACACTACTTGCAGCTTATAGCATTTGAGGGGGTCCGCTCAGAGGAGCATGAGCAGATTGACGAGCTGCGCGCTGCATTGGCAAGGCCTCTTTTTTCAGGGTTCAGGGTTCAGGGTTTAGGGTTTAGGGTTTAGGGTTTAGGGCTTGGGGACTGGGGTTTGGGGTTCGCAGTCTTTTGGTTGCTTCCAGGGCCCCAAAGCTCGAACCCCAGGCGCTTTGCCTACACCCGAAGCCTTGCCTGCAACGAAGACAAACCCGACTTCCCTGGGGGTCCATGGACCCTTGCGGCTTCTTATCAGCAACGACTATGGCCGCCGTAGCACTACGAAGATCTCACCGAGTAGCCTAGCTCATCTTCAGCCCTGACCTCGGCCCCCCAATGGTAGAATTTTCTTTGGGAGCCCTAGGCCCTAAGCCCTAAACCCTAAACCCTAAATCCTAAACCCTAAACCCTAGACCCTAAAGCGCCCGAAGAGCAGGTCCTAACGTCACTGCACAGGTACCTGCAGGTTCATGGGTAGTTACAAGCGGGGTTAAGTAGGGTAGCTATTAGAACTGGTTCTAACCGTATTTGGGGCACCTAGAACTTAGAACCCTCCTTATGACTACTCATGAACGTCCATGGCACTTTCTTGTGCGAGCTTTTGTGGGGGCTTCGGGCTTCTTGGCCAAGTATGCCGCAAGACCCGGGATTCCCCCGCCCCTAAACCCTAAACCCTAAACGACCTTCCATCTGCAGTCGGAGAACCATACTAGCAGTATGCCTATCCCCTAAACCCTACACCGCAAAAAAACCCAAAACCCCTTAAAAACTCCCAAAACACCCCCCCCCCCCCTAATTCACTAAACCCCCAAATCCCCCTAAACCCCCTAAGCCCCCCTAAACCCCCTACGGTTTAGGGTCTAGGGTTTAGAGTGTAGGGTTAAGAGAAGCATAATATGATCCACCCAGGGTCTGGGTTGAAGTCTTGTGCCATGTTCCAGCAGTTGGCTGCCAAAGACTTCGCAGAGCGACTCTATTTCGCTCCACGCCACGCCCTGAGACACACTTTTAGGGCTTAGGGCTTAGGGTTTAGGGGAAACCCTAAACCCTAAGCTGTGCAGAGCAGTGCGTTTTTTGAAAAGTATCAACATCCTAGCCGTGCTCACAACTACCCTTGAGCCTTCAAGCAGCCCTAAACCCCAAACCCTAAAAACCCTGACCCGTAAGCCCTGACCCCCCCCCCCCCCTTTTTCGGGACGTGGGCAGGAGACGCGGAAAGCTGGCCGAGTTTAAGGCCCTCCGGCTGAGAGTTTGGGGTTTCAGGGCTTCAGGGTTTAGGGTTCCCCTCTTCCCTGCGTGGACCCCTTTAAGCAGACTCCTTTTAAAGGTGACATGGGGTCCATGTTTTGGGGGTTGCGGGTGGATGGGTGAGGCCACGAACCTAAGGCAGTGGTCCCCAAACTCCCTAAAGTCCCCTTTTCGGGCTATTTGGAGTCGTAGGGTAGTACACACTTGGGCGCTAACGCTGCTAATTAAATTATATAGGATTTCCTTTACGGCCCAAGTATAAACCCTAAACCCTAAACCCTAAATGTGGCTCTGGGCGTAACACGTTGCAAAGCCCTGACCCCACCTAGCACCCTGAGCCCGTTTAGGGTTTAGGGTTTAGGGTTTAGGGTTTAGGGTTTAGGCTTGCCTTAGACCCTTCCTCTCGCAGTTTGGTCCTTCCTGGATCTGCGATTCCTTGCAGACCGCGTTACCTGTAGCAATTGATCGAAGTCTGACGGTTCAAGGAAGTAAGCCCTCCATCCCTAAGGGTCCATGTACCTAAATAGGGCGTGCTTGGGGCTTAAAGTTCTCTTATATAGGGACTTTTGGGCCCAAGTAAACAATAGTATGGTGCATAGACCCACGGCACCACATTCCTCATACCTCTGACTTCCTCAAAGCAGAAGAATCACAGAAACTCCTGGAAGGAGCCTAGACCCTAAACCCCAAACCCTAAACCCGAAACCCGAAACCCTAAACTCCACCCCCCAAACCCGAAACTCCAACCCCCGAACCCGTAACCCCAAACCCCAAACCCTAAATAAAGCCCAAACCCCCAAACCCTCAGCCGCGAGGTGTACATCGCCAAACCGCCGCTTCCGGCGAAGATCCGCCAGGAGCTCCTTGGAGGCCCAACCCCCGGTGAACCCCAAAAGGGTTTAGGGTTTAAGGTTTAGGGTTTAGGGTTTAGGGTTTAGGGTTTAGGGTTTAGGGTTTAGGGTTTAGGGTTTAGGGCCACTAAACCCCTTGAAGCGCGAACTCCGAAGGGTTTAGGGTTCAGAGTTTAGGGCTTAGGGCTTAGGGTTTAGGGCTCAGGGCTTAGGGTTTAGGGCTTAGGGTTTAGGGCTTAGGGTTTAGGGTTTAGGGTTTAGGGCTACTGAACCCCTGCAGGGCCCAAGTATATGAGCGCATGGACCCTGAGGAACCCTAAACTCTAAGCCGAAAATGTTTTAAGGGTCTGGGGTTGAGGGTTTAGGGTTTAGGGTTTAGGGTTCAGGTTTTAGGGTGTAGGGTTTAGGGTTCAGGGATTGGGGTTTAGGGTTGGGATGTTCCCCCTTATACTAACAGTCCTTAAGAGGGATCAGGATAGGGAGTACTATAATCCCTATTAAGGACTGCTAGTATAAGGGCGAGAATCCCAAGTTTAGGGTTTTGTGTTTTGGGTGTTTGCTTGGGTTTGGGTTTTGGACGCTGCCTGATGGTGGGGACCCTAAGTTAGAGACCTACCCATGTACATAGAACATGTACACACATTGTTTGGTCATTTCTTGTTTAATATAAGGACTTTGTTCTTCTTGAGGTTTCTGAAGCGAATCCTTCAAACAAAAACAACTAAGTAACTACTTTCAGGTTAGTGGCGCTGGGTAGTCAGAGCCTGGGTTTTGTGTCCTGAAGACAAGCCCGTAATCCCCAACCCTGAACCCTAAACCCTAAACCCTAAACCCTAAACCCTAAACCCTAAACCCTAAACCCTAAACCCTAAACCCTAAACCCTAAACCCTAAACCCAAACTAGGGTCCCTCTCTGGGTCCTGTATATGGTCATGCGTCTGGCGTCTAGCCCTACGCCCAAACCCGAAAGCCTTGAACCCTGAGCCCTAAAACCCTCAAGCGACGCCAGAGCTCCCTAAACCCACAGCCACACCACAGGGGAGCGGGGAGTACCTAGATCATGCCTGTAAAGCCGGAAAGCTTAAGCGTAAACCCTAAGCCCTAAGCCTTAAAGACGCCAAGCCTAGAAACCCTAGATCCCCTAAATTCCCTAGAACCACAAGCCCCAAACCCTACAAACAACCCACAGCCACACCACAGGAGCAAGCCCTAAAACCAACCCACAACCACCCCGCAGAGGGCAGGGGGTACCAGGGTACCATTCCAGGGGGGGGGGGGGTGTAGGGAGGAGGCGCCTGATCATATATAGTACGGCACCCGTAAAGGAAGGACCCCAAAACTACTATTTGCTTAAGAATTAATAATCCCTATATTACCGTTGTAAGGAAATATATATATATATATATATATATACATAGTTATTTATTTATTTATCTATGTGTATGTATATATATATATATATATATGTATTTATTTCTTTATAATTCCGATTGTTTTTATTTGTGTGGGGAGAACTACCCATACAGTGACCGTGACCTGCAAAGGGACCTGGTCTAGAACTCGACAGCTCTTTGTGTCAGGGCACAAGGGCACACAGCTATGAACCCCCCTTCCCCCCCCCCCCCCCAGGCACCGAACACATGGAGCAAACCCCAAACCCCTAAACCCCTAAAACTTGGGATGTTCCCCCTATACAAAAAGTCCTTAATGGGGAATAATCGGGCATACTCTTATCCCTATTAAGGACTGCTAGTATGAGGGGGAACATCCCAAGCTAAACCCCAAACCCCCAAACCCCGAACCACTAAACCCCTAAGCCACTAAACCCTAAACCCTAAACCCCGAAACCCTAAACCCCTAAACCCCTAAACCCCTAAACCCGTAAACCCCTAAACCCCGAAGCCCCGAAACCCCGAAACCCCGAAACCCTAAACCCCGAAACCCAACCCACTGCGGCCCGCAGGCCTCGAATCGGGGTCGGGCAGCACGCGCCGGGCTCGGCGGCGTTGTTGTTGGATTCCCCAAACCCTAAACCCTAAACCCCTACACCCTAATTCGGCCCTAAACCCTAAACCCCAAACCCCTAACCTAAACCCTAAACCCTAAAACCCTAAACCCTAAACCTTAAACTTGTTTCTCCTCTCTTGTCGCTTACTTGGGGCCATGGTAACCCTTCGAGGTTTGGGGCTGAGGGGGTTGGCCTCAAACCTAGGCTCGCTCGGAGTTTCTTGGGCACCAGGGTTTAGGGTTTAGGGTTTAGGGTTTGAGGTTTAGGGTTTAGGGTTTAGGGGTTAGGGTCAGGAGACCCGTAAGGGACTTCGTAGGGTACCTATCTTCCCCAATTTTTTTGAGAACAGCAGGGGAAGTTCTTGCAACAGCTCGACTCGATCACCCCCGGCAACTTCTTCCTACACTCCGGCTGATGTTATTTGGAGGTTCATGGGCAGTCAGAAGTCGGGTTGTAAGATGGGGTAGCTGGTCAGAACCTTATTTAGAACAGTTGCAACCCTACTTCTGACTACCCGTGCACGTTCAAGTAGCACTAAACCCTAAACCCTAAAACACCAACCCTAAACCCTAAACCCTAAACCCTAAACGGCCCTAAACCCTATACACTAAACCCCAAACCCCAAACATTATCGCACCCCAAGCTGCAAACCTTAAACGCCCCAACAGCCGAAACCCCCACCTGCAGGGTCATTTGGCGCTCAGGTCCCCAGCAGGGCGTGCCCGTGGCTACAGCGCACCTTGTTGCTTAAGCAATTCGGGTCTCTAAAATCTTTGTTCAGGAGTTTAGGGTTTCAAGGTTCGTTAGGGTGTAGGCATTAGGGTCCTTAGGGCTTCGGGCTTGAGCCTTAGCGCCCAGAATGGCTTTACGATTTAGGTTACGGTTTACGGTTGGCGAGTTTAGGGCTTGGAAGACTTGTGGTTTAGGGTTTTCAGACTTTTAGGTCAGAGGCAGCTAGGGATCAGGCTGTTTTAAAGGTTTAAACCTTTGACTTCAAACAACCTTGCAGTTCTAATCTTTCTGCAAGGATACTCAGCTGAGTTGTTATTGTGTCAGCTGTCTTGCCACTTTGCGCCATTTGGGAGGGTCTGCTGCCTTTCAGAAGGAAACGTTTTAACACCCGCATGCTGTAGAACAACCACTCCCGAAACCCTAAGCCCGAGTCAGGAATTGCCGGGCGCCGTAAATTGACGTATTTGGGCTTCTGGCCTGTTACAGTGCGAGTGAACATAGACCGCCTAGACCCCCCAATCGGGCTGCGTTGTTCGGGCCTAATCTCTACCTGAAGGCTCGGATATAGTTCCTTTTTGGGGTAGCTCACAACAGATGAAGGCCTAGGTTTCCAGCTGTAGAGGTAGGGGGGGGGGGGACTAAATGAGACTCCAAACCCTAAACCCTATACCCTCAAACCCTAAACCCTAAACCCTAAACCCTAAACTCGCAGCTCAGGGACAGGATGAAGGACCCGCCTGGAGCAGAGATTCCGTGCCGATGGGCCTGGGGGTCCAGGGGTTTATGGGTTTAGGGTTTTTGGGTTTATGGGTTTCGGGTTTCGGGTTTAGGGTTTGGGGTGTAAGGTTTAGGGCTTCGGGGTTTTGAGCTTTTGGGCTTTGAGGACTTCGAGGGTGCAGGGGCTTAGGAGTTCATAGCGCCAGGGCTGTGAGGGCTCGGGGTAAGAGAAGGGCGTCGGGTTCAAGGTTTGAGGACCTAGCCTGAGAATCCTTAGAGGTAGCTCTAAACCCTAAACCCCTAACCCCTAACCCCCTAGACCCTCTAAACCCCTAAACCCCTAAACCCCTAAACCCTAATCCCTAAACCGATTGAAGCTGTCCTCACCCTGAAGCCTAAAACCCTTCAACCCCAAACTCGAAACCCCTCGCACTCAACCCTCCTGGGACGTTCATGGACAGGTATACGTGGGGTTATATATAGCCTATAGTAGTAGAGTAGGTAACCTTCAACCTTTTTGGGGTAATACAACCCCCTTAAATTCCCAAAGGTTAACCTTTAGTTCCCCCAGGTTGCTGGACAACTAAGGGTATACGTGGGGTTATAAATGGGGTAATTATTGTAGAACTGGCTATACCCTTATTCGGGTACTTATAGCGCCACTTATATCTACCCTTGAACCTTCAAGTAGAAATCTCAACCCTCAACCCAAAACCCTAAACCACCTCGATGGCAGGAGTCTTGTCCGAGAACAAAGATGACTACCTCGCCTCGGGCTTAATGGGGTTTAGGTTTCAACTAGTGCCCTCTCATTCCTAAACCCTAACCCCTAGACTCCAAACCCTAAACCCTAAACCCCAAACGTTAAACGCAAAACCCTAAACCCTAGACCCCAAACCCTAAAGGCTTCAAAAGCCGACTGAACCAATACCCTGAAAGTCCTCAGGCCGTCATGCGCCAATCAGAGGCCGAGACGGATTGGCATCATTACTAGGTAGGCCATTGGGAGATTGTGTGTTTTCCCTTCCTGGGTTCAAGAGGATCCTATGTAGGGTTTTCGGGTTTTAAGGGGCATCCTAGATTATAGGCACCATTGTCAAGGGCCATCATGTGCACTGGTCCGTGCAAGACGTGACTTCGTTGTCTGGCCCGACCAACTCGCACAAGACCACGCTTTTTCGACCCTTTGGCGAGCTCGTCGGCTTCACCGGGTCTTACAAGCCCGCCTTTGGACGCAAGTTTGCTCTGCGAAACCTGCTGCGGGAGAAGCGCTTCCAGTCGGCCGGTTTAGGTTTTAGGGTTTAGGGTTTAGGGTTTAGGGTTTAGAGTTTAGGGTTTAGGGCTTAGGGGTAAGGGTTTAGGGCTTAGGGCTTAGGGCTTAGGGCTTATAGGTTTAGCCCCTAGAAGTGCAAGTGTCCCAAGCTTTTCACGCCGGCAAGGTTGACTTTGATTCCAGCATCCCAAAGCCAAAGTGGGCCCAATGCCCTTAAAACCCTGCGGAAGCCTAAACCCTGATCCCGAAGCCCGGACTGGGCAGAGGGCCCGAAACCCTAAACCCCTAAACCCTAAACCCTAAACCCTAAACCCTAAACCCTAAACCCTAAACCCTAAACCCTAAACCCTAAACTCTTTCTTTGGGTGTTAATCCGTTCCCCCTAATATAAACGCCCCCCCCCCCCCTCCCCCCCCCCCCCCCCCCCCCTCCCCCCCCCCTCCCCCCCCCTCCCCCCCCCCCCTCCCCCCCCCCTCCCCCCCTCCCCCCCCCCCCCCTCCCCCCCCCCTCCCTCCCCCCTCCCCCCCCCTCCACCCTCTCCCCCCTCCCCCCCCCCCCCCCCTCCCCCCCCCCCCCCCCTCCCCCCCCCTCCCCTCCCCCTCCCCCCCCCCCTCCCCCCCGCCTCCCCCCCCTCCCCCCCCCGAAGGGTTTTTAGTATAAGGGGGGGTTCTTATCGTTTGTCCGAGAAACCAGCCCGTCCTTATTGTAGCGAGGGGTCAGGGTTAGGGTTTAGTTAGGTTTAGGGTCGAGGGTTTTAGGGTTTAGGGTTGGGGTTTAGGGTTTAGGGCCTCCACCCCCCCTAATCCCCCCCTAACTCTGTAGAGGTTTTAATAGGGACAGACCCGGGATCGGTATTTGGGGCCGGGGGGATTTTTATATTAGGGGGGTATTAATATTAGGGGGAATGGATTATTTGGTTGCCTTATGAAGTCCCTATGGCAGTCCCAGAGCTGAATCCCCAAACCCTGTGGTCTCCTAGGGCTTAGGTTACGGTTTAGAGTTTAGGGTTTAGGGTTTAGGGTTTAGGGTGTTTCTAGGGGCTTAGGGCTTAGGGTTTAGGGGAGCCGAGAGTTGAGGTTCGGGGTTTTGCATGATTCTCCCTTGCGTTGTTGGGCCTTGGCGCCTTTGCGTCCTGTACATCAGGGTTTAGGGTTTAGGGTTTAGGGTTAGGATGCGAGCCCCTATAAGCCTTAACCCCTCGTAGGGTTTATAAGGTATGGGGCTTCGGGCAACCCCTACTAAACCCTGAACCCTTAGCATGAGCAAATTCGTCCTTGGCGGTGTGAGGATGTTCTGCCCTTAAACCCCTAAACCCCCAACCCCTAAACCCTAAACCCCTAAACCCCCAACCCCTAAACCCTAAACCCTAAACCCTAAACCTCCTAAACCCTCAACCCCTAAACCCTAAACCCTAAACCTAAAACTGCTGAGGAAAGAATGTGCCCGATCGAGTTCCGAGCCCATCCTGGACACTCCAAGGCGGGGCTGAAACGGATTGCTGTGTGGGGTCTAGCCATAAGGTTTAGGGTTTAGGGTTTGGGGTTTAGGGTTTAGGGTTTAGGGTTTGGGGTTTAGGCTTTAGGGTTTGGGGTTTAGGGTTTAGGGTTTGGGGTTTGGGGTTTGGGGTTTGGGGTTTGGGCTTTGAGCTTTGGGGTTTCGGGTTTGGGGTTTGGGGTTTCGGGTTTCGGGTTTCGGGTTTGGGGTTTGGGGTTTCGGGTTTGGGGTTTGGGGTTTAGGGTTTAGGGTGCCCTAAACTACTATTTGCGCAAGAGCCCCCCCCAAAAAATGAAGGAAAAGTCTCCCCATAGTAAATAATACCCTATTTTTCCTTTTTGGGGGAGGGGGCCTTCAGCAAATAGTAATAAGTGGCCCCGTCTCATGCAATAAGGACCCCAGGTCCCTAAACCCTAAACCCTAAACCCTAAGCCCTAAGCCCTAAGCCCTAAGCCCTAAACCCTAAACCCTAAACCCTAAACCCTAAACGATGACCTGGTTGAAGCCAGCTTCGAGGCATTCCTTCTGAATGGCGCGGTGCTTTCTACGGGCACAGGCGTGTCTGTGTGGAAGGGACTGCCGAGCATCCGGCTCGCGGCAAGCTGCCGCGGAGGGCGCCGGCTTCATCCTTGAAAAATTAGGGTTTAGGGTTTAGGGTTTAGGGTTTAGGGTTCAGAGTTTAGGGTATAGGGTTTAGGGTTTAGGGTGGTTCTCAAAAAAGACGAAGAACCTGACACATACACATCCCTAAAGCCCAACCCTAAACCCGAAACCCTAAACCGTAACAACCCTCCTTCCGAAGCCTAGACCCAAAAGCCCTAAAGCAGGTGGATGACATGTTCGGCTTGCTCTTGCAGACCCTAGCCTGGAGCTTGGGCTATGTAGATCTGCCCCCAGATCTTTGGGAGGATCCAAAAAGTAGTCCATTAGAACCCTCAAATAATACCCTATACTGCTATTGGGTCATTCTTAGGGATCTACTTTTTTGATCCTCCCGGTGTTCTAGGGAAACGGTGGTGGGCGGTCGAGCAGACCAAGGCGTAGTGTTAACCCTAAACCCTGAACCCTAAATCGAAAGAGTTCGAGGTACCCAGAACCTGCTTTTCGTTTAGGGTCCCCTAAACCGCAAGCCCCAAAAATTATGAACCCTTAAGCCCTAAACCCTAACCTGGAGGTTGAGGTTTTTTTGGGGGTTCGGGTTTAGGGTTTAGGTTTACGGGCATAGAGTTTAGCGCTCAGGGGGCGCTTAAGGTTTAGGGTTTAGGGGTTTTCGGGGCCCGTCGTCGAAAGATCTCCGCGAATCGAGACTTCATCGTATAAACCCTCGGCTTTACGGTTTGAGGGTCTCAAGTTTAGGGCTTAGGGGTTGGGGGACATTCGGATATTGGATTTGAATGCTTTGGGGTTGTAGTGTTTTCAATCAAGTGCATGGCTTTCTTTAAACTCTCAAGCCTAAACCCTATACAGTGCGGATTAGAGGGGGGGGACACTCGGATTCTTCATTAGAGAGTGTGTAGTTTGCAGTTGTTCCGGCTTCAGGGCGGGGCTCAGATTCATCGCATATCCTTAACTGGGATTCACGCCAGCAACTTAAGGCCCGACAGAGGACGCAGTAGCCACTAGCCCAAAATATTCGTAAATCCCCTATCAGCCCACAACCCTTAACTCCCTTTAAGCCCAAAAACCCCGTGTAAACCCCCTTCTTAACTTTAACCCCCTAACCCTAAACCCTAAACCCTAAACCCTAAACCCTAAACCCTAAACCCTAAACCCTAAACCCTAAACCCTAAACCCCCCCAAAAAAGCGTCTCTGAGGTGAGCAAAGCTGAGGTGGCCCTGTCGCAAAAGGAGCGCCTCTTTGCACCTCGGCTGGTACGGAAGCGGCTCGGAAAGGGTTTTGGGGTTTGGGGTTTAGGGTTTAGGGTTTAGGGTTTAGGGTTTAGGGTTTATAGGGTCTGGGGTTTGTAGGGTTTAGGGTTTAGGGTTTAGGGTTTAGGGTTTAGGGTTTAGGGTTTAGGGTTTAGGGGTTTAGGGGTTTAGGGGTTTAGGGGTTTAGGGGTTTAGGGGTTTAGGGGTTTAGGGTTCAGGGTTCAGGGTTCAGGGTTCAGGGTTCAGGGTTCAGGGTTTCGGTACAGGGATTTAGGGTTTGTTGAGTGTACCATTCCCCCTCAGATAGGACTTCTGATGGCGTTTGGGCGCACTCAGTTCTGGCTGAATGTGCCCTGTATGTACCGGAAGGGCATACCGTCACAGGAACACCCTGCGTTGCAGCCAACGCCTTTTGAGCTTGGGCATCTTGCGCCCGAGGCCTAGACCCTACCCCTAAGGGTCCATGTGCCATATTATTTCGAAGATCGGGCCCAACAGTCCCTATCTAGGAGATACTTTAAGGCCCAAGTAATCCCCCTGTAGGTACCCGGGCCTTAGGGTAAACCCTGAGTCCAAAGTCTCAGGGTAAAACCATTTACGAGACGTGGGCCTCTTAAAGAGAGGCCCCCCCCCCCCCCCCCCCCTCCACCCCATGCGTTTAGGGTTATAGGGCTTAGGGTTCAGAGTTTAGGGTTTAGGGTTGGTTTAGGGTTTAGGGTTCAGGGCTTAGGCGACAGGGCAAGTTTAGGGTTTAGGTTTTAGGGCCCAAAAAGACCTACACCCTATAGACCCTAAACTCTAAACCCCCTTAGCAAGCAAGCCCCGCTTCTTGTGTACTTTGGGTTCTGAAGAGCATGCAGGAAGAAAGCCCATCAGCCCGTGAAACCCAAAATCTTCCTCGACCCTAAACCCCAAACTCCCCTCCTCAACCCCCTCCCTCCCCCAAGAAACCAAGCAACAACTCGAACAAAGACTCCTCAAGCCCATAGCTCCTACAGCCCAAAATCATCATATACCCTCAGCCTCAAGCCCTTTCCCCCCAAAGAAGCCAACAACACGGCTTCACCCCCTAAAACCCTTATCCCCAGGTCCCGAAGAAAGCCTACGAGCCACCCACCTGCGTTCGCGAGATGTTCGTGAAGCCCAAGGCAACATCTGATGTTTAGGGCTTGTAGAGTTTACGATGTTTTGTTGTTGGGTTTAGGCTTTAGGGTTTAGGGTTCACGGTTTTACGCTCGATTGGGTGTTAGAGGGAGCTTAACGGATTGAGGAGACTGGGGATGTCTAGGGTTGAGGGCTTAGGGTATAGGGTTTAGGGTTTTAGATAGCTGTGTTGGCCCTTGACCCTTGAAATATTTTGAACCTTTGTTCTGAGGGTGTACTGCCCCACGCCCCCTTATTTTGTAAAGGGTTGTAGTAGTATGACCTATCCGGAAACCCGAGGGAACCCCAAATCCTAAATCCTGAACCCTGTAAGCCCCTAAACCCGAAACCCTAAACCCTAGCCCTAAACCCTAAACCCTAAACCCCCAACCCTTTGCAGAATCTAGAGAGGTCTCTGAAGAGAAGTGGCAGCAATGGAACCAAGCGCTGGACTTGCTTCAGGCCAGTCCTTCCCCGCAGGTTTACTACGATTTGCTTAAGAACCCGCCCCCCCCCCCCCTCTCCCCCAAAAAAATGGGCATGTTTCTGACTTATTAGGGCAACGTGGGGATTATTATCTTTTCATTCATGTATTATATATATATATAGTATATATATATATATATATGTTCTCTTTTTTCTTTGTTTTGGGGGGTAGAGGAGTTTTTAAGCAACTGGTAGCCCTAAACCTGAACCCTGCGTTTAGGGTTTAGATTTATCGTGGAGCTAGGTACCACAAGACAATGCTCTCTGGTCTGTTGCCCTGGTTCCATGACTGTTTAGGATTTAGGGTTCGGGGTTTGGGGCTAGCCTTTGGGGGGTGCAACCCCTAGGCTGCGCGCTTCGACTCGCCTGACTTGAGCCGTGTAACTTCTTGGCTGTAGGTTTAGAATTAAGGGTTCAGGGCTTGCAGCAGGCTTTAGGCTGTAGGGTTTAGGCTTTAGGGTCTAGGGTTTGGGGTTTGGGGTATGGGGTTTGGGGTTTGGGGCTTGGCGTGTGGCCCAGTGGTACGCATTTGGATGACAGTTGGTTGCTGGGCTAGACAGTGTGCCACACGACATGGAACCATATGGTATACCGTACACCCTAACCCTAAAACCTCGGATACCCTAAACTTGGGATCTTCCACCTTATTCTGACAGTCCTTATAGGGATTCTAATGAGGGGTAAGGACTGCTAGTAGAAGGGGGGAACATTCCAACCTTCAACCCTAAACCATAAACCCTCAACCCTAAACCCTAAGCCCTAAGCGCTAAGCCATTAACAAATATAGTGACCAAATCAAGAAAAAAAAGCCCCACGCTTGTGCTGCAACGCTTCAGTGTGCCCGTGTGGGTCTCCGTTGTAGGTTTAGGGTTTAAGGGTTTAGGGTTTAGGGCTTGGGGTTCAGGGTTCAGGGTTCAGGGCTTAGCATTTATTAAGTTTCTGGGGTTCAGCATGTGGGGTTAAATGTCTGGGATTCCTCAACTTCGGGCTACGGTTTAGATTTGGCGGTCAACCCCCACGTCGTCGAGCAACGATGCATCTGAAGGTGTCAGACAAGCCCATGCCGCTGTCGGAGTTTCATAGTTGCAGTCGCGCCCTTAGACTTCTCTTTTGCATGGCGGTTTCGGGTCTAGGGCGTCTAGGGCGTGTAGGGTTCAGATTTCCGAGCATCAGTTCAAGGCCTAGCAGTTTAGTCATCTCACCGTACCGCACTCTGGAACTCTAGCCCTACATTCCATCTCGACACCCCAAAACGCCCAAATTTCCTGGGAGATTTCGCAGTTGCCCATAATGAGTCGATGTTTTTGTGGTTGTCAGGTTCATGGCGCTTAGGCCCGACGATGTTGTACCCAGGTGGTTGAGGGTTTAGGTGGCTCAGGGTTGTGGGTTACGCAGAGCCTGGGCAGGTTTTTGCAGGGAGGGAGGGTCCGTTGAAGGGGCGTTGAAGACCCCTAGACGAGACCCAAAACACGACTTCCCTGTACAGCTCTCATATCATTTAGCAAAAATAAATATATATATATATATATATTATTTATTTATTTATTTATTTATTTATTTATTTATTTATTTATTTATTTATTTATTTATTTATTTATTTATTTATTTATTTATTTACTTATGTATTCATAGATCCATATATATATATATATAAATATAAATAAATATATATATATATATATATATATACATTTTTTCATTTATTTATTCATTCATGTATATTTACATACTTATGTACTTTATACATACATATTTTTTGGCAGAAAACGGCAGAGGTAGAGGTATAGCCGAAAGGTTCGGCACTGCGCCCACCTGCACGACGAATTGCTGCCGGAGCGCATGGCGAAGGTGGAGGAGAGAGAAGCCAAGGAGCTCGCCACCGGTCGACGCACCAAGATTAATTTTCGGGAGCTGGAACATCCGCGGGGCATCGCGCTCGCAAGGCCTCATCTGGCGCGGGGACCACTATTACCAGCCGTGCCACGTGGCGAAAGGCGCTCGCCGAGCTGTGTGACAATGTCAAGTGAGAGCTTATTGTCGTTCAATTGATTCACAGTTATAACAGTTCTAACGGACAGGTGACGAGGGGGACGTCACCATCGCCGAGCACATCGGCACGAAGGTCCAGGTAGCACCAACAGTCACAGCCCCCCATCCGCAGCAAGAGCGCCGCAAGCGCTCACGGTCAGGCAAGCCCATGGCTCTCCTACTCAAAGAGCATCCTTCCGGCCTTCTACTTCGCGGTGTCAAGAGTCGGGCTCCCTAGTTCGACGACTTTGGAATGTTGAGCATCGCTGAACTAATGTCTGCGTATTCTTGTCGAGTTTCATCCTGAGGCACGGCCCGGCGACTTCCGGCTCCTCGCTGTCCAGATGACGGACGTTGCGTCATTCACCTTGGAGAAGGACGTGCATTGGTTCGAGTAGCTCAGGGCAGCGCATCCTCGGAAAGCTGCGTGCAGACAGGGCGCCGGCCGCGTTGTAGATCTGGCACGCCCCCTCGGCGCAGCTACTCAAGAAGGCCCGGCTCGATGTAGTCTCGCGTCGAACCCAAGCTTGTTCGGAGGCGCGGCGTTATACAGCATGGCCGGGATTTGTTGTCGGAGAAACGAATGCTGTCTGGTCTAGCTGATTCCGGCTGCAGATCATAAAAGATACAGCAATTTTAGCTCGCTTTCTTATTTCCATCTCCTGTGGGTCTTCTGATGCGCATTTGAGATGTGTATCCGGGTGTGGTTTTAGCGTGTGTCCGCGTCCCGACTTTTGGCGTGTCCCGAATTTGTCAGGGATGTGTCCGTTGTGTCCGCCCCGTTGTGTGGGAGTGTGTCCGGTGTTGTCCAATGTGTTCCCCTCTTCTGGCCCATGTGTCCGCTCGTGTGTCCCGGATGTGTCCCGATGTGTCCCGATGTGTCCCGAATGTGTAATGTTCAACCGCTTCCCCAGCTCGCGTCAGCAGAGGTTCTCTGGACTGCTTCGGGTCACGCGACAGAAACTAGTCAAAGTGGTCCAGTTTTGAAGGGCCGCGCGTGTCGCCATGGCAAAGAGCAAAAAGAGGGAGTAAACGGGGCCACGAGCCAGATACAAACTCCTCGAGACAACAAATACCCTAACAAACATTCGTTCCGACCCTAACCTTGCAAAGTCCGATATTTGGCAATCGCAAGCATGGATCTGACGAAAACGCTTTTTTCAGCGAAGTTGTAAAATTACTCATAAGTTGGGTGCAAAACACTTCTAGCAAACTTATATCTTTAGTAAAGAATTCATAACTAAACCATGAACTTAGCAACTTATAAGTTATGGTGGGAAAATTATACATTGTGTTCTAGAGCTTATAAATCAATTTGTAACTGAGGGGCCCCGCCCTGCATGTTACAATCGCTATTCTTCCGAGAGAAGAAAGTCAGACTGATCCACGCAGGGAAGTGTCTGCGAAGGCTGCAATGGGCTCGAAACCCAAGACTGCGACGACCGTGGAAGAGGCCGTAAGCTTGGGTCGACGCACTTCGGAAAACTTGCTTCTTGTTTACCTTCTTCGATCACGATAGAGGGTGCTAGACCGTGTGGATCGCACGCCTGCCACTGCGCTTGGGACGGAAGATGAAGAAAAGGGCCAGCTCGCTGGAAGAGACTCACCGCGAGGCAGCTGGTCGCCTTTCGATAGCAAGTCTGACGCGAAGCGCCCGCGCTCGAAGGTGACCGCTCGACATCCACGGTCGTCGGTGGCTTTCCGGGATTTTCGAGCAATGGCATGCTGCCGGGCACCGAGCTAAGCGAGCTCGTCATATGAATTTCGAACACGCAGCGAGCTTAGATCATCCATCGATCGAGAGGTGTAACGTGAAACTTTGCTCGCGTCGGCGTTCTCCCGGAGCGCAGTCACGGCGGTGCGCCAGGGCGATTGGACGACAGAGGACCTCATGGATGCTGCCAGGGGCCTACGCACTGCTCGCGCGTTTGACACGGCTGCGGTGTGAGTTCGGAATCCAGTCGTCTCTTTTGCCTGGTTATATAAGAAAGGTGGCAGACGCCTTGAACGACCAGCCTCGCAGACCTGATGCTATCTACACATTCTCTCCAGAATAGTTTATTATCTATTCATCTATTTATATTTGTACTTGTAGTTATGCTTTTATTTATATTTATCATGTCACATCATATCATATCAGTCGGTTTTACTTAAGTCGCCCCAGAAAAAGCCCCCTAACCCCGAAGGGGTCCCATGAAAGCAGTCCCTCCAATAGTCCTTGTAAAGTCTGTGAACCCTCTAAGTTTAGGGTTCAGGGTAACCCACAAAAACTCTGTAAACCCCACAAACCCTACAAACCCTGTGAAAACCCGATCCCAAATATGCAACAGCTCATGAAGGTACCGAAAATCCTATCAAAGCCCTATAAGAACCTTCAAAACCCTAAACCCCTAAACCCTAAACCTGAAACCTTTTACAATTGACACATCCGCAAGCCCAGACATCCTAAAATTGTCCTCATTCAGAGCTTAGGGCTGGGAGGTCGCCCTGCGCGACTCCGGTTTCGGGTCTAGGTTTGGGGTTTGTAGGGTTTAGGGTTTAGGGTTTACGGTTTAGGGTTGGTGTTGTGTCTTCCGTAGGCAATGAATCTTCAACTGTGTCCTATTTCTGGGGATTACTCAAACCCTATTTGGATATGGCCTACATTTTCGCATGTAGTGGGATTAAAGGTAAGCTTCAGGCAGCCGTCACTTCCCAATAGTGCAAGGCGAGTCAGCCTACAGGGTGTTGCTGTCAATGATGATCCTTGGTTTAGGGTTGAACATTGTGCGGGTTAGTGCGCACGTTGTTTAACGGTTTTTTTGAGAAACCCTATAAGAGCCAAACCCTAAGACCCTAAGATCCTGGGTAGGCTCCCTAGTCTTGTGGAGCTGACTCCTGGCGGTTAAACAGAGTTTAGGGTTCAGGGCTTAGGGTTTAGGGTTGAGGGCATAGGGCTTAGGGCTTAGGGCTTCGAACACATGTTGGGTGCGCCGTAATCCACTGCAGGAAGCACTCATCCGGAACTGGAGCCCTACGTGCAGCTTGGCTTTCGGCTTCGGAGAAGTGGGCGTTTAGGGTTTAGGGTTTAGGGTTTAGGGTTGAGGGTTTAGGGTTTAGGGTTTAGGGTTGCCGTACCGAGGGCGTTTACAACCTCAGTAGCTGAGCTGAGTAGATCTCTTTTCTTTTCACCTTTTCGGGTATGTGCAACCTGCCAGAATTTAAAGGTTAGCCTTGCTTGGGCCAGGGTACTCAGCAACTAGGGAACCCGAAGCCCTACGCGATAAACTCAGTTCGCTGATTTAGGGCTTTCTTTCCTCAGCTAGGGGCCTAGCAGGGCCGGGGTCTTGGAACCTACACGAGGGTCCCATGTTTAGGGTTTAGGGTTTAGGGTTTAGGGTTTAGGGTTCAGGGTTCGGGGTTTCAAGGGGTTACGACTCGCGGTCCTAAGGTTGTACCCCTAAAGGTTCCCCGTAACATACTCCTAATTTGGCCTTTATACGACCTTAGGGTATTTGGTAAAAAGGAACCCTGTGCAGTAGGTGTAGAGTTTGGCCACAAATGGTTTACGTACCCTAAACCCGAAACCCTGCAGGGCTCAGGGGCGTAGGGACTTAGGGTTTAGGCGTTATAGGGTTTAGATCTATGCAGTTTGGATTGCTTGGCCCGCGAGACTCTCATCGCCAGCTGGTGATGAGCCCTTCCGCATTGAAATAATCGTCATTTAGCGGACCATAGCTCATAGCCAGAAGCTCCAAACCTGTCGGCCTTACACCTTAATGTGTGTGGACAAAGGTTTGGGACTTCGAGTTAGAGTACAGGACTGTTTTTTTTTTTTTTTTTGTTGGGGGGGGGTTCAAGCACTAGAACAGCCTGTGTGATGATGTGTTTTTTGTTTTCCGTCACTAACAGGGTTATATTTCGGAATTTTTTCAGAGGGTTGCAAGGGCCGCCCGAGCGAAGCGGCTGCTCACGGGCTTGTGGGTATGGGGGCTTAAAACCCTGACCGTCCCTGACCTGAACACCCCCAGTTTCAGGTTACCCTACCCCTAAACCCTAAACCCTAAACCCAGGGTTCAGGTTTTAGAGGCAGTCCCGACTTGGGGAGAAGGGGGAGAGGGGGGGGGAGGGGGCTTGGAGGGGGGCGGAAAAGGCGGCAGCCGGTTGGTTGGGGGGGGCCGCAAAGGCGGAAGCTTGAGGCTTTAGGGTTGTTTTGGTTGTTTGGGGTTTGGGATTTAGGGTTAGGATGTCCCGCGTATACTCACAGTCCTTAATAGGGATTGCAGTACCCCTTATGATAATCCCTGCAAAAGACTGTTAGCTTAAGGGGAACATCCAAAAGTTTAGGGTTTACTGAACTGGGCATGCCTAGCCGGAAAACCGTACGCTTTGACAGGCCCAAAAAACCATCTCAGTAGTTGAGACGATAACCTTTAACCTTTTGGGCTTTCTACAAGCCTGCCACAATTTGAAAGGTCAACCTTTGTTGGGCCAGGATACTCAGCAACTAGGCCATAAACCCTAAAATTCCTAAAAAGTCATAAAACGCCTTCGGCACCTGGCTGAGGTACGAGTCTCTGGTCGGAGGGGCGGACGGGCTCACACGCGAAGTCTGCCTAAGCAAGATGCCAGGGCCTTGTGGCGGTTTTGTTCTTGGCGTATGGGGTTCGGAAGGATGTTGGGGATTGAGGAGTTTTGGGGGTTTCGTTAGGCTCTCAGGGGTTTAGAGGTTTAGGGTCTAGCTAGGGGCAGAGCGGTTCAGAGTTTTCAGGTTTGGATTGAGGTGTGTAGGGCTCGGGCTCCAAATGCCCTTCCTTGCAGAAAGTCGTACGGTTTGCAGCCCCAAGCCCCAAACCCTAAACCCTAGCCCTAAACCCTAAACCCTAAACCCTAAACAGCAAAACCGCTTGCCCAGCAGTTTCAAAGAGTTCGGAGATGCTTCGGCGTCTAAAGGTTTTGTCATCCCTAAACCCTAAACCCTAAACCCTAAACCCTAAACCCTAAACCCTAAACCCTAAACCCAGGTGTGAGCTGACCAACTGCCGGGGGCGCATGGCCCGGCGTTGTTGATAACGTCTTTTAGTTACGTGCGGGCTTATGGTAGGGAGGCCTGGCAAAGGGTTTAGGGCTTAGGGCTTAGGGTTTAGGGTTTAGGGTTTAGGGTTTAGGGTTTAGGGTTTAGGGTGGCCTTGTTTCTTGAGTTTGTGGCTGTTTTGGGGGGTGGAAGTTGGGATGTTTAGTCCTCAATAGGGATTATAGTACCCCCCCCCTATAGTCCCTATTAAGGACTGTTAGTATAAAGGGTGGACATCCCCAGCTGGAAGGCTTCCATGATTTATAGTTCTTAATGCGGTTACGCTATATGTCGTATATCTGTGTATATGTATATATGTATATCTGCACGTACGTATGCGGGCATATACGCCTAAAAGGCATGTATGCATGTACGTGACATGTAGGTATGCTAGACCCTAACCACTAGTCATCGTCGGACTAGGACCCAGAGTAGGCCCTTATTCCCTTTTTTGGGGAGATTGGGTTTCCTTATAAACCCCCTTTTTAACCAAAAAAGTGCGCTCTTTTTATTCCTAGGTTACTCTTGGGTCTAAACTACATCCTGCTGATTCGTTTTTCGCAGCTGCGAAAAGTCCTAAACTGTCAACCCTACCTGGGGGTTCATGGGTCGTTAGAAGTAGTGGGGGGGTTTAGGCTTCCTTATAAAACCCGTGAAAACCAAAAAGGGCGCCCCTTGTATTCCGAAAATACTCTTTTGTCTAGTGGAGCTTCGGAATGCTTCATGATTGCCAGACCTCCCCCTGCTGCATGCGTGGGCATGCTCGCCCATGCGACTGTCGCATCAGGCGGCGAGGAGCTGCCTGACGTGTCGGTCAACGACCCTCTCCCCTCAAGCCCGAGCCGAACAGCCAAAGATGCAGACAGTGGCAGATAGTGGCAGCCTGTAGATACTTGGAATCCTCTGAGCGACTTAGACTCAAGGCCTTAAAAGCCCTAAACAAGCTAACTCAACCCTAAGCCTCGAAACCCCTGAGGCCCGAATCATTTGACTCCGCGCCGTGCGCCGGCCAAGAAGGGTCAAACTCGAGCGAACCCTGAAACCTCGCACTTGCTCAAGAACCCCCCTCAAAAATGTAGAGCTTAGGGATTGCCTTTAGGGTTTTGGGTTTAGGGTTTCCCCTAAGGGTCCATGTACATAAAATAGGGAATACTTGGGCCTCAAAGTACGTTCTTTATAGGGACTTGTGGGCCCAAGTTAAACCCACCCCAGGCATAGACTTGAGGCTTTCTGGGGCCAGAGGTTTAGGGTTTGGGGTCAGGGTTCAGGGCTTGTTTTTTTTTGGGGGGGGTGGGTGGGGGTGGGGGCGAGGAGGGGGGGGAGGGGGGAGGGGGGAGCTGGGGCATGGGACTTTTTGGAGTTTAGGTGGTTTGGGGGGTTACTTTGGCAATTGGGGGTAGGGGTCTTTAGGGCGTTCTTATGCGGCGATTGCCAAACATGTGTTTGAAAGGGTCGCGGTCTGAAGAACGGCTGGTGAGGTTGTTTTCTTTTTTCCGGTTAGGCTTTTCGGGACACTTTGGGTGTAGGGCTGTAGGATTTGAGCGAGGTTCGGCTTTCAGGGTTCACGAGAATACAGCTTCCGGGCTGTAGGGCATACGGAGGGCATCCTGGGATGAAGATGTCACATGGCCACTCTGCCTAAACCCTAAACCCGAACCCTAAACCCTAGCCCTAAACCCTGAACCCTAAACCCTAAACCCTAAACCCTAGCCCTAAATCCCAAACCCTAAACCCCTTGAGCCTGGTGTCTCGGGATTTTGGGGGCTGAGGGTTTGCCGGTTTACTTCCGGATTAGTGGTGCTTTGTCGTGGACCAAGGCAGCGCAGACTTGGCAATGCCATTTCTGGGCCAAGCGGGGATGCGGGTGCAAGGGTTTGCAGACGGAGGTTCTACACCCCTCAACCCCTCAACCCCCTGAACCCCCTAACTCCTAAACCCCTAACCCCTAAACCCCTGAAACCTAAACCCCTCAACCCTACACCCCAAAACCCTAAACCCCTCAACCCTAAACCCTTAAATGACTCTCGAAAACCCTATAGACACCAGTACGTTCTCAGCCCTACAAAATATGAAGGGCACAACAACCCTAAACCGTAAACCCCAAAAGGGCAGGTAATTGGAGCCAGCTTAGGCCGGCAAGTACCGAGGAAACTGCACTCGGTTAGGATTCTGTTTAGGCTACACTGCCATGTATCTAGGGCCCATCTAGCAGTTGAGGTTTAAGGTTCTAGGGTTGCAGGGTTCAGGGTGTAGGATTTCGGGGTAGGGCTATAGTGCTTAGGGCCGGGTTAAGACCCCGAAACCTAAAGGGGCATGCGGGAGCCTCTACAGAACATCTTGTGCTCTGAGTTAGAGCGGTGAAAGCCGGAGATCCCAGTGCTACTGGGTTGGGGGTTTAGGGTTTAGGGTTTAGGGTTTAGGGTTTAGGGTTTAGGGATAATGGGATTTGGGCTTCAAGGCTTAGGGTTTAGGTGCAGGAATATGCCTGGACTCACAATCCCACCCACCCTTCTGGCACTAGATATGTGTATGTTGGTTTCGTGGCAATTTTTTTGTTGCTCTTGGGCTTTCTGTCAAACCCCGCCCTTCCCTGCAGCTTGCGCATTTGTCAACCGCACAGCTAGGCAAACTGTTGCCTGGAGGTCCCCTGGCTTGCAGCTTGATTTGTCATCTGCACGGACTACCTGTGGCCGCAAAAATCTTTTTAACTGCCTAGCGGAGTGCTGAGCTCGATTCAGGGCACCTGCTTTGGGTCTAGGGTTTAGGGTTTAAGGGTTAAGGGTTTAGGGTTGGGAGCTACAAGACCTTATTAGCTATCCCAGATCGCACGTCCCGACGTTCAGACGTTACGTCCCCAAACCGCGCATCCTCGAGACTTTTCGCGCTGAGCAAATGTTTTGAAAGAGGCTCGGGCACATGAGTGGGGGGGGGGGGACGGGGGCGGGGGAATGCGTTTCCAGAACTTCCAAAACGCACGTTGCTTGCAGGCGGGAGAGGGGGGGGGGGGGGGGGGGGCGGCGGAATGCGTCGTTTTCCAGGCCTTCCAAAACGCATTTGGCTGGCAGGTGAGGAGGGGGGTCTGCGTCTTCCAGCCCTCCTAAGCCGCACTTGGCTTGCAATCCTAAACCCTAAACCCTAAACCCTAAATCCTTTCAGTTTCAACCAATCAGGAAAGCTAGCCTGAACACAGAGCAGGGCCGGGGCAAGGCCAAGACGCTCAGGCGTCATCCAAGGGCTTGCAAGATTCTCGCGACTCCAGCAATTTAGGCAATTTAGGGTTTAGAGTTTAGAGTTTAGGGTTTAGGGTTTAGGGTTGCAAAGGCTGGGGGCGTGTCGAGCCAACGCAATGCCTCGAACGTGGCCTTGCCTCATTCAGCTAGGCCTTCTAGGAGTTCAAGGCATGTCGAGCCAACCAACACCAAACCCGAGATCTAGAAAGCTAAAGCTTCGAAAAGGTTTACATCCTGGCGTTCTGTGCAGTGCTCCGAAAATTGCATGCCTCACTGTGGCTCCCCAGCTCAAACACCATTGAAAGAGATGAGAGAGGAAGAGCACGATCAGAAAGCAAAGAAAAACACCCTAAACCCTAAATCCTAGATCCTAAACCCTAAACCCAAACCCCAAACCCCAAACCCCAAGCCTGCCTTTAAAGAGGCTTCCGTCAGAGGCCTCCCCATAAGGTGTCTCCCCGTAAAGACGCTGGCTTCGCACACTACTCGGAACCCTGTTTGAAACTTAGGCCTAGTAAATCTAAGCACAATCCTATCAGGGATCCGATTCAAAAATAATCGGCATGCGATGAATATCTTGGTGTTTCACAAAACTTTGTTGGCCTTGGTAGCCAAGTGGTTCCCTTTCACCCTTTTGTGGCTCAAAGTTCCCTTCTAAAGTAACCAACCAAAAAAAGGCTAGCCGTTTGTTAATATGGGGATTTACGAAAATAAGGGAGCCCTAAAATAGACCGCCACATAGTAGGATCCCCAAATTTCGGAACCCCCCCCCAATTGGGTACTGGTCTATCAAGGTTCCAAGAATTTGCAGAGCCCTGATCGTGACAGCCTCCGGAATATGCTGTGGCATCTGGGAGGCCACCCTTGGCTGGGCCCTTGCTTCCCCTAAACCCTAAACCCTAAACCCCAAACCCTAAACCCCAAATCTCCATGCTATGCCCCTCAACCCCAAGCTCCGTGAATGCCTCAAAGCTTCGGGGAGGGGGGGGGGGGGGGGGGGGGGGGGGTAAGGGTTTAGGGTTTAGGGTTTAGGGTTTAGGGTTTAGGGTTCAGGGTTCAGGGTTCAGGGTTCAGGGTTCATAGGGTTTAGGGTTTAGGGTTTAGGGTTTAGGGTTTAGTGGGTTTGCCCGGGTTGCTGGTGTCTGAGTACGGGGTGGTCCAGTGCGCGAAGAGAATGCCAAATCCCTCCATCGAGGGAAAAGTAAGCTCAGCGCAAGCACGCAGCCTGGCATGCTTTACATCACCCCACGTGAGGTTTCATGTGTAAGTATACGTAGTGCTATAAGTAGTGTAGCTCGAACTATAGCCCTATTCAGCGTAGTTCGAACCCCACTTGTAGTACCCTGAACCCTAAGCCCTAAGCCCCAAACCCTAAACCCCATAAACCTTCAAGCAGTCCCTAAACTTGAGACTCCCATAACCCGCAGAGGCGAGGCCGTCATGGCGTCCTCAAAAGCCACAGCTCTGGCCCTTTGAAACATTCGGGTTTAGGGTTTAAGGGTTAAGGGTCTAGGGTTTAGGGTTTAGCAATCTAAGGGCCCGTTGGGGGCGCCTGATCCTTACGATGAGATCAGGTGCAACCCCCTCGTGTCGTGGCAGAGACTCAAGACACCGCGATCTGTCCCTAGACGTCTTAGGGTTCAGGGGTTTGGGGGTTTAGGGGTTTAGGGGTTTAGGGGTTTAGGGGTCTGAGGGTTTAGGGTTTAGGGTTTAGAGGTTTAAGCGTTTGGGGTTTAGGGTTTAGGATTTAGGGTTTAGGGTTTAGA